ATTTCCAGTATTAGATCTATCTGTCTAATACAGCATCCATCACGATCGAAATTTAGTCTCGAAACGAAGGAAGCGTGAACCATGGCGCGGCGTGGAGCCGAGCGGAACGCGAGCAAAAGAGAGAGAGAGAGAGGGAGTGAGAGCATGCTCGCGGCGGTGGTCTGGGTTCGCAGGAGGGCAGCTTGACGACGCTCACTCAGTGCGACAGCACGCGCGACCTCGAACGGATCAGCGCGGCTGATCCTCGATCGTTTCTCGCGCGGTGGATCGTCGCTAGCGCGCGGCAATGAGACGTTTCGTGCCCCCTGCTCCGCCTCAAGATTCCTACGCTTTCTCTCGCCTGGGACGCGCCTCCAACGCAACGATTTAGGAGAGGTTCTCGAGGTGAGATCTCGTTGTCCTCGACGAGGAGGAAGAGTCCTTTGAATTGGAGAAAGTGCTTGAACTTTTTTTAAATTTTACTCAAGTGTTGGAGGGTAGAGGAGGCAGGTTTGGTTACGATTAAGCGTGATTTCGAGGTGGCTCTGAGATTGACGAGGAAGGTTGTTGATGGGTTAATCGAAGGTGAAGGGTATTTGTTGGATGGAAAATGAAATTTTCCGTATTTAATGTGCAAAGTGGAGAACGAATGATGAGAATTATGGTGAACAGAGAATGATAAGAGAAAGGAAAACGGGATAGATATAAAGTAGGGAAATGGAGGAGCAAAGAAAAACACAAGCACTGAAATGGGAAATTGGAAATAAGGAAGTGGATGTAAGGAAATTGTAAGAATGAAAAATGAAACGTACGAAGTATGAAAAAATAAGAAACGATAGAAATAGAATAGAAATAAAAATAGAAAAAAAATAGGAATATTTTAGATACATGTATTTTAAAAATCGTTTAAAAAAAAAATATTAAAAAACAACTACTCTAACGTCTCGAACACACGAATATATCCTATATTTCAACAATGTTAAGAAAGTTGAAATCTGATTTATGGTACGAATACCTCGATGAAGTAGGAATTGGCTAAAGTTATGAAGGATCGAACTCTGATATTTGGAACACGAAGAGCCCGTTATTTTGGCAACGATAAGCGGGAGGATTTTTTTTAGAGTGACAAATGTGCCAAGCCGCGAGTACTCGAGTGGAATGATGATGAACTTTGTTCGACCGGCAGTTTAAGATAACTTTCCCAACTTACCAAACACGATATTATATTAAACTTGATAAAACAATAAGATCCATTCGAAATTTCAATAATTAAGTATCTATAATTATATTTAATATAATCCTCCATCTGCTATACGAAGAAATTCATATAACAATCAAGTCTTAATTACATCTTTATCCGATCCATTTTTAAAAAATTCGTATCTCTTTAAAAATATAAAATTTGACTGGAAACGGAGCTAATCCATCCATATTAATTGATTAAAAGTGATCCTTGAGGTTTCATCACGAACGATAAATGTTAAAATCTAAAAATCTTCGAGATCGATGAACGTTTGTTGAATTTTTTCACTATAAAAATAAAAATTGCAATGCAAACATATTTGAAGTAGATCGATATTTAAATTTTCAGAAGGGAGGAATACTGTTTATCTAAAAAAGAAAAAGAAAAAAAAACTCTTCGAGTTCGTTCAATATTTGAAGAAAAATAACGGAATAAAAAATCAAATCGAGAGAAAATCTTCGAGGTTGCATATTGAATTTCTCCAAAGGAATAAAAAGAATTATCAGTCTCTGAAGTTGATCGATTATTTTTTTTTTTTTTTTTTTTGCGAAAGAAAATAAAATATAAAATAACGAAATATTCGTCGATACGTACGAAAAGTAAGAAAATTACGAAGAAAACTTTTTGGATTAAAGATTCTTGTGATCAATAATAAAAAAGGAATGATCACCGCCATTCGATGATCATCCAATATTATCATCCGAAGAAAAGGAAACGCATGCTTTTTGAGATCCACACCAATTTCCTATTTTTACGTCCAAGCGTCATAGGTTTCTCAAGTATCTCGAGTCGAACGGTGCAATCGATGTTCCTCACTGAATACGTAATATATCGAGAATTCAATTGTGTGTTGAATCCTTTGAATTTTCCGGTCAATCGATTTGGCAAGTAGTTTCACCAAAATTCAAATGGATAAGTAGAAACTATTGAGAAGAGGAATATTGGGTTTCTGAAAAGGGAATCTGTGAATGGGAATCGAGAGAAAATAAAATCCAGAAAATTCATATTCTGAAAAATTGTAAAATGATAATTAAAATACTTAACTATTTTTGAGAATCGAGTTCTAAAAAAAAAAAAAGAACAATTTGGATAACATCGAATTGAATGCGAATTTGAATTATAAAATTATTTCGAGATCAGTTTTCAGAAAAAGCGAGTTTTAGAGGGATGATGATATGAAGTTTGAGGGAACGATTTGAATTTGGGATTCTAAGAGGACTTGGTTTCGATCAGACTTCTGCGAAGTTCGAAAGTACTCGAGAGATTGCTTCCCACTTCCGGAAAACTTGGAACACATAAAAGAGATTGACACCTTTGGAGATGGAAAATAGGAAGATTCAATCTTAAGATAGCGATGCTAAGTTTTAGATTTATTGAAAGTGACAGGAGGATGACACCTTTAAACTTGAAAAATATCGAAGAATTGATTTCGAACTTCATGAATCACTATGCGTTGAAAACATGCTTGTTTCGTATATTTCTCGTTGCAATAAACATCCAGTATATTGCATCATACAGATGACGACTTCAACAAGAGATAAGAAAGAAAAAAAAAGAAAAAACTCCATCGCGCGAATATTTTAAACTCGAGAAGTGATTCATCCAACAACCATTCGCACGATCCAATAAATCAAAAAAAAATAAATAAATAAATAAAAATCTTCACTCGTCTTCATCCTCGATTGAATCTCGACCACCACGTTCGCAATCCAGAGTTCATTCAAACCTCCCCAAAAACCAAACTTGGACTCTCACCAAATTCATTCGCCCACGAAGAAGAAGAATCGCGAATCAACAATTTAATTCTAACCTGCCTCTAAACCATTACGTTATTACGAATCCGTCAAAGGACTCTTCCTCCCTGGCGTCGTCAAATTTATAAGAAACAGGATCCCTCCTCCCCTGCCCACATCTTTTGGAGTACCACCAGTTAGCGTGTCATTGCGAAAGTTCGATTCTAACAGTAAACAAAGAAATCGATCGTTGCGAATTATGACGAATCATCAGTTCTCGAGCTCTCCCGGCTATCGATCCGGAGAATTACGAGTGTTTGAGGAGCCGTGGGAGTATTTCGTTCACCATTGTATCGATGAACAGCTGATCGAGAAAGAGAGAGAGAGAGGATACAAAAATAAAGGAATTTTGGAAGGACATTTCGAGAAGTTTGGACCTCGAATGATTGACGCAGGTTTTGAAACGATCGAGGTGTAGGGATAATAACGAAGGCGTGAAGTTATTGTTGTTTCTACGTTTGAGGTTAGGTTAGGTTAGGAACATGGACGTTGCTCAGTGAGGTCAGGTCATTCGATGAGACTTTTAATGATAGGATGGATTTATTTTAGTGGATAGATTGGGTGATTTGGGTGGAATTATTAGATTTGAGACTCGAAGATCGAGTGAAAAATGCGATTTATAGGTGACATCGATCACTTATAATATTTAAGATTGAATGATGAAGGCAATGTAACAATTCTTCATTGATTGCAGGTTTTTATTTTCTTTTTATTAGAAATAGCAATTTTTTAGAAATAGTGAACTATTGTTCGTATTGAAGATAGTTTCAAGTGTTTTAAATTCAATATTTAGGTAATTGAGAAAGTTATATTGATTTGATAATTATTGTGATTATGTGAGTGTCTTATAGAAGCAACATTACTAATCCATTTTCCAAAAGAAAACATTTTAAAGTAATAAATTGAACTAGAAGTGAACAAATATTTATTAAACGGATATTCGAGTTGAAATTATAACACTAATTTAATCATAAAAGTATCTTAGAATTATCGAAACCTATAAATAATACCCAAATTATTACTTAAATTATTGAAATTACAAACACTTATTCCCCAATAACTAAATAATTTCAACTAATTGTATGATTTAATCATCAAAATTATTTTTGAAAAATACTTGCTCTCCATAAAAATTTTTATAATATTTCCTCGTGACTTATAGAATGGTGTCGACGTGGGACAAATGTTCGCTTTTAAAAATAAATCCACCAGTTTGAGTTAGCGCCCTTGTCAATCTGAATTATTATTCTTCCAATGCAATCAATTCGACGAGTCATAAATATAACCAATACGTGAATTATCAAAATGAAACATATCTCAACATATATTATGACACATTCTCATTTTAATTTTTACTCAAAATATCAAGTGTCAAGTAGTGGAAAATCTTGAACAAAGTTCTAAACGATTTATGATCCCAAGGAAATTTCAAATTTCAAACATCCTGAAATGAAATCCTACTTTGAAATCTAACCTGAGCTGAAGAAACCCCCAAAGTATCAGAATACCAGGGAGAATAGAGATACTAGATATTTTGAACTAGAATCAACGCATAAGGCTTCTAATTTTGGCTCCAGCTCGAGAATCTCTAAACGTTTAAATTCTTCAGCTTCTTTAAAAATATGAAAAGGGAATAAAATTCGTGAAATTCATTCGGTTCAAATTTGGATCTTCGATCGAAACGATCATACAATATCTTTTAAAACAGTTTTTCCCCGATTTCGAAAATTTTCAAGATCGTTGCCTCGTTTGAAATTCAAAACTTTGCGAAGAGAATATTTCCACTCGCAGATTTTATAACAAGTGAGCAGGGGAAAAAAGTGTTTTGCAACGTCAACTCTTCTACCGGAAAGAAATCGATGTGGAAATCTTCTTACATCAGGGACGAATGCATTCGTTCGAAGGTTCGAAAGGGATGGCTGATGTCTTCATTGTTATTCCGCTCCGCCGCTAAGTTTTATTTCCACTTTATTTTTCTCTCCCGCTTTTTCTATCGTCACGCTACGTTACCGATCCTATAAACAAGGTAGCTAGCCTGGTTTTCCAGCTGTACAAACAAGATATATGATAAAGAGCGGGAGAAACATGTTCCTTTGTTACCAATCCTCGAGCTTCCCACGTCCAACTCTCTTTTTCTTGGAAATGTTCACCCCTCTCAAAGGGAAGGTTTGGCTAATGATTCAGAGTCGAAAGTGAGTTTAGAAATTCGAAATTATTATTATTTCGTTCGTTTTAATCATTTGAGAATTATTGTGTTAACAGGGATTTATTGTGTTTCCAGCTTTAACTAATTTTAGTTAAAAGTTGTGTGCCTCTCGAAGTGACAGTTTGATAGACACGTTTAATAAGAACTTGTTGTATTTTTATTA